TTTGATATTTTCCAATCGAGTATTCAAGATATTCGTTGCGAACTTGACGATCTAAAATCAGGGTTGAATTTTGTTGGTGGAGTATGCGAAGATAAGGTTAAAGCTGTAGGCGAAAAAATAAATAAAGTTTGTGAAGATGTAACTAATGTCAGAAAAATGCAGGGAAAAATATCCTCGGACAATACGGAACTAAAACTAAAAAGCGTAGATAATGAAGATCGAAACAGGCGCAATAACTTAAGAATCGATGGGATTATTGAAACAAATGAAGAAAAGGATTGGGATATAACTAAAGAAAAAATAAAACAGCTTTTTAACATAAAACTTGGAATGGAGAAAGATATTAAAATTGAACGAGCCCATCGAGTTGGGCTCGCTAAATTAGAATGAGAGCGAACCATTGTACTAAAGCTTAGAGATTTTGAAGATAAAAAAGTAATCTTTTTTGATATGCTACTTAAATTTAATGTCTTGTCAGCAATTAATAAGCCAACACGAGTGACAAAAACCTCGGCAACGGCAATTGACAATATTTTCATTAATAATTACCTGGAAATGGAACTTGAAACCGGGATATTCATGACTGATATTAGTGATCACTTTCCGATATTTATAAAAGTAAGAAATTTAAAAACCATGTCTGATTATGAACCAAAAGTTATAAATTTGAAAAAACGCAATCTTAACACAAGTAACTCTAATGAATTATCAATCAGACTAAAACAAGAAAAGTGGTCCAACGTGTATAGATGTCAGGACACCAACGAAGCTTTCAATAATTTTTTAGATATATTCCTAGATTGCTTTAATAAAACCTGTCCTCTAGAGGGCATAATAATTAAGACAAAAACAGTTTTTAATCCGTGGATGGATAAATCACTGATAAAATGCTCAAAAAAGAAGCAAAAACTCTATAATAAATATCTTAAAAATAAAAACACTGATAACGAGAAAAATTACAAAAATTATAAATATTTTTACCAAAACCTGATTAAAAAGGCAAAAAATAAATACTATAGTAATGAAATCATTAAATGCAAATCTGATAGTAAGAAAACGTGGTCCGTCATTAACAAAATAATGGGACGGAAAAAAATAAACACAACTTCTTTACCAAAAAGAATTAATATTAACAATACAGACATATTCTGTGAAAAACAAATATCCGAAGAATTTAACAAATACTTTATAAATATTGGTCCGAATCTCGCTAATAAAATAAATCCAACAACTGATTCATTTAAAAATTATCTAACACCCACAAATAAAGCCATCATGTACGATAAAGAATTTGTATATAAAGAATTTGAAGAAGCCTTTTCCTCTTTAAAAAAAAAAGACAGCCCCTGGATTTGATGAAACAACTAGTGATTTAGTTATCTTTAATAAAACCAGTTTAAGTAGACCTCTGATCCATATACTAAAGCTCTCAATAACATCTGGGATTTTCCCTGATGTACTTAAATTAGCAAAAGTAATCCCTATATTTAAATGTAATGAACATTCGGACATAACCAACTTTAGACCTATATCAATACTTTCTGTTTTTTCAAAACTCTTCGAACGTGTAATTTATAATAGAATCTATAATCACTTTACCAAAAACAAATTATTTTACCCAAACCAGTTTGGATTTCAAAAAAACCTTTCAACAGAGCATGCAATTATTGAATTAGTTAATCAAATAACCGATGGTTTTAATCAAAACAAATTTACTTTAGGAGTTTTTATTGACTTATCAAAAGCTTTTGATACAGTTGACCACTGCATCCTATTAGATAAACTAAAATACTATGGTATAATTAATAAAACTTACAATTGTATTAAAAGTTATCTTACCAATAGAAAACAATATGTGTGCAATATACAATCTGGAGTATTAAATGTTTTATGTGGAGTTTTCCAAGGATCTATCCTTGGGCCACTTCTGTTTCTAATTTATATAAATGATTTTTGCAATACATCTTTAAAACTAAATTCAGTCATGTTTGCTGACGATACAAATCTATTTCTTACTAACAGTGATATCAAGAATTTATATGCAGACATGAATATCGAACTAATTAAAGTAAATAATTGGTTTAGAGCTAACAAACTCTCGCTTAACTCAGAGAAAACAAAATATATATTATTCCATAAAAAGACGCAAGAAGAAAACCTTCCTTTTAAGTTGCCTGACCTTATCCTAAATGATAACTTAATTAAAAAACAAGCCAGCATTAGATTCTTAGGAGTTCTTGTTGATGAGAAGCTATCCTGGCTTCCTCAAATAAGATATATTCAATCTAAAATCAGTAATATAATTGGTATGATGTATAGAGTTCGCTCATATATCAATAAACAAAGTCTAAAACTAATTTACTTTGGACTAATTCATTGCTTTATCTGCTATGCAAACATATCATGGGCAAGTACTCAGCAATCAAAACTTAAAAAAATCTATAGTCTACAAAAACACGCATGCAGAATCATTTACTTTAAAAATAAGCAGGAGCATGCAAAACCTATAATGAAAGATATGAAAATGATGGATGTTTTTGAAATAAATATCTATCAGCATTTAATTTTTATGTATCAATTTAATAATAATCTCTCTCCTACAAACTTTACTAACAAGTTTGAAATAAACATAAATGAAAACTACTATCTAAGAGCAAATATAAGTAACACATATAAACTGCCTCAAAACCTTAATAAATATACTGAATATAGCATTGCATATCGGGGGCCAAATGTATGGAATAGATATCAAAAAGGATCCAAATGTATCGCAAAGTCATTAAGTTCATTTAAGTTTCTGATAAAAAAAGAAATTTTGAAAATTTGATTATTATTTGTGCTTAAAAGGATTACAAAGTAATTTTCTTTATAATCTTATTTATTTGTTTTTATTGATCAGCGCAGCAATTTTATGCCCATTAGGGTTTTTAATTTAAATTAATATCCATAACCTAATGAAAATGTATATAGGGAACTCTATGAAAAGATTGCAATGACGTTTTGTCATCTTCATCTTAAAAAGTATAGTTTATTTTATATACTGTATATACAAAAACGGTGCTTGTTGACAAGATTTTACTGTCTTCTTTGTTATACGGACATATTTCTTTCTTTCTTGTATATGTATGTGTTGATTATATTTGTTAAACAGCAAAATAAATATAAAAAAAAAAAAAAAAAATCACGTTTCACAACAAGAAGTTTTGTAGGCCACTAGCACAATAAGTGTTTAACGATCTCTTAATTATTTTTGGTGATATGTTGTTGCATTGGTAGATAACTAAACTTAAAACGGCAACAACTACCCTGTTTCGCTAGAAGCCAAATGAAATCTGTCTCACTTTGCCCCGAAACTTGGGGCAAAGTGAAACAAATTTCAAGTAAAAATATAATTTTTCAATAAAAATTGAATCAGAATTTGATAATTTTGATCTGATTAAATATAAAAACACAAATAAAAACACAAAGGTATCATTTTATAATGTAATTTTTCTTTTTAAACCAAAAAATATGATAGGAAAAAATATCAATCATAAATATAAAATAACAAAAAACAAAAATTAAAAATAATATCAATAAAAAAAACGCTTAAGCAAAGTTTCATGTTAGTCAACAAATTTGAATAAAATCTATTAACATTAAAATCAAACATCGTTTAATGTGCAATCAGCGCCGGCTTTTAGGGGGGGGGGGGGGCAAGGTGGTGCGTTGCACGAGGGCGGCAAGTAAATAGGGGCGGAGAATTTTATTAGTCACAAGTTTTAATTTTCCATTAGTATATTAAAAATTTAAAGTAAATTAAAAGATTTAACGACCTTTGCAAAAAAAAAAACACGATTTTAAATTTGAAGACAAAAAATTACTACATTTACTTAATTAACGCACGGTTTTCTATTTGATTTTTATTATTTGATTTGGTTGTAATTTGTAGTATCATTTGTGCGTTATTTCCCCTAGGAGTCATTTCGAAAAGTTGCAAAAAATTTTTTATAAAGAAGTTCAAAAGTTTTTATTTTTTGTTATTAAATGTTAAGTTGACTCGATTTAAACAATTTTCAGTAAGTTTAGTTACTTTTTTTTTTTTTTCTTTAATAATTTTATGAATGTGTTTTGAGAACTTTGTTAAATTTTTTTTTTTTTTAAATTGTTAAAATAATTTTATCTTAAAAAATATTCTGTCTCATGTCACATAAAATTTCAAATTCGAGAAAAAAGTTGTCTGGTTATGAGTACAGAAAAAGAAAGTCCGTTAAAGATCAAAAATTTGAAAAGATTAAAAAATTCATGAGCATTGAAAAATATGTTGCTTATAAAAAACCTGACGAAGGTCGTGAAGATTTTAACCCTGATGCTTCAACTATCTCTGCGACTATGTCCAATAATTTGGAGAACCTTCAACAATACTCAAAAATAGTTGTATAACTTCATTGCAAATTGAAGTAGATAATGAACCAGTTATTTTAAAAGAATCGAATGATTTATCGAAAGATTTTTTACAAGAAACACCTAATTTTTTGGATTGTGGAAATTAGCCAATTTTTTGATCTAGCAACTTTGTGGACCATTTAATCAAACTTGGTCCTTTTCAAATTACAAAGGAAAAATACCCTGAAGATAGAAACGGTCGACATTTTTCTAGCATTTATTACAATAGAAAGCTTGCGAATGGAGAAACCTTTTGCCGTAGATGGTTGGTTTATTCAGATTCTAAAAACTCCGTATTTTGTTTTTGCTGCCTACTTTTTGATAATAATTCAAAGTCAAACTTAGTCTCTGATGGTTTCAAGAAATGGAGACATTTAACTAAAACATTGGGAATTCATGAAAACAGCGTCTCTCATATGAAATGTTATCAACAGTGGGTAGAAACTGAAATAAGATTAAAAACTGGAAAAACTATAGATAATGAAGAAATTAAAATTATAGAAAAAGACAGTTTGCGATGGCAAAATGTTCTTCTTCGGCTGATGAATATCACATTTTACCTAGCTGAAAATAATATGGCTTTTCGAGGGAGTTCGGATAAACTGTTTACGCCTCAAAACGGCAAATTCTTAGGACCAATACAGATGCTTGCAAAATTTGATCCTGTGATGCAAAAGCATTTAGCACTTGCAATAAAAGGCGACACTTCAGACCATTATTGCGGGAAAAATATTCAAAATGAGTTAATAGATTTAATGTCTCAAAAGGTTAATGATGAAATAATAAACCGAGTCTTGAAAGCCGTTTACTATTCAATCATTGCTGATTGTACACCTGATATTTCTAGAAAAGAACAACTTTCTCTTACTATTCAAATTGTTGACTTGTCATTAGACATTAGAGTGGAAATTAAAGAGTACTTTTTAGGATTCTTTTCTGCTTCTGATTCTACAGGCTTAGGACTTACTGAGGTTTTAATCGAGTTGCTAACTAAGCTAACTGCAGAGGTCAAGGGTATGATAATTGATCAAATATGAAAGGAAAGATTAATGGTGTACAAAAAAGGATTTTAAATCTTAATCCTTTAGCATTATATGTTCCTTACGGCAACCATAGCTTAAATTTGGTAATAAGTGACTCTGCACGGTCTTCAGTAAAATCTATAGCTTTTTTCGGTATTCTTCAGAGACTCTAGGAGAGCAATTAAAAGATTTTAGCTTTCTTGTCTCTTTAATTGTCTGGTATGACGTTCTTTTTCAAGTCAATATTGTTAGTAAAACTCTTCAAGAGAAAGTCAAGGACATCACTCAATGTGCAAAGTTATTGAAAAGCTGTTGTTCATTTTTAGAAAACTATAGAAAATGTGGTTTTAAAGATGCAATTATAAAAGCAAAGGATTTGGCTATAGAATTACAAGTGGAGCCTGTTTTTAAACCACTTAAAAGAATAATACGAGTGAAACGCCATTTTGACGAACCAGCCCAAGATGGAATTTATTAATTTTCTCCTAAAATAAAATAGAAATTGATTTCTTCAATCCTCTTTTAGACACATCTTTAATTTCAATGAGAGAAAGATTTATACAGTTGGAGAATTATTCCAAAGTTTGGGGTTTTTTGTATAATGTCGATAGTTTGCAAAAAAGAGAAGAAATTCTAAAATCATGTTTAGCTCTTCAAAGTAAACTTATCGTAAATCTAAAATCGGACATTAATGGTATTCTCCTTTGCGATGAACTGATGAGCATTAAACCTTTTTTTTTCTGAAATGGTCAAGGATAAAATTACTCCTATTATTGATTTAAACCTTTTAAAACAGCACAAAATGCAAGATTTGTATCCAAACACATGGATTGCAATGCGAATTTTGCTAACAATACCTGTCACTGGACAAACTGGACAAAACCATTCCCCTATGTTGATTACATTTTTTTTAATTGAGCATTTTGTTAATTTTCTTTTCTTTATGTTCTTTTTTTATATTTCACTTACTTAATATATTGACATTGGTTTTTTTCAGTGAATTTTTTTTCTTGTTGTTCTTTTTTTTTTTTTTTTCTCTTGTTTTTTTCTCATTGTTCTTTTTAAGTAAATTTTTTTTCCTATATGGAGAACTAGTTATAATATGAGAACTTTCAGGTAATTTTCTTTTTGCAGGATAAAGTTTTGGAATTTGAAGTACGTCTTCAAAAGAACTTGACGAAGTAACAGTTTTCTCTGAAAAGCTTTTAATTGGCATTAACTTATCATGACTTATTAATTCAAATATAGTCGACTCTGGCTGGTGTATAATTTCACGTTATTTTTTGTTATCGCGTTCAAAGCGAACTTCATGAGGTATGGATAACTAATATTCACATTTAATAAATTTGATGTTGCTAAAAGTGGTATTTATCTAACAATTTGTCCAAAATACTAAAACAGATTTTGATATTATCTTCGTTCAAACCAAATACTCTGTTTAAAGAAATTGCTTCTGGTTTTCTTAGTGATAAATCACGATGGCGTTTTAAAAGCTTCGCACAAAGTCTTCTTCTGTTAGTTTACTATCTTTGTTAACAGGATTTATTATTGAATTTTTTTTTTGCAGAACTCAAATACTATCAATCTAATATCCATCATTAAGAGACCATAAACTGAATTGTCCATATCTTTTATATATTTATTTAGATCTTGTTCTTGATTATCAGAATGCACTTTTCTAAATCTTCCAAATAAATTAGTACGTAAATCACTTTTAAGTGAAGCCTTTTTAACACACAGATGTACAGTGGGATAAAATCGGATTTTTTGTGCCAAAGTTCTTTTTAATAGAACTGTTATAAACTAATTATACAAACCATACAAAATGAATATCAAGCTCATTTATATTGCTTAAAAAGTTTATTTCTTGGTTTAATTACAATTAAAAGTTACGACCTAATATATCTATATTCCAGAATGTAGAATTCTCGCAAATAAAAAATTCAAAAACACCCGGAGGAAATTTCTTTTTTACAGATGAAACAGTTTTTCTATAAGATGAAACAACTGGATTAGATGTACATAAAAGTCTTTTCATTACATCTTCGTTTGTCTTTGTTCTTGAATTTTTATGGGAATGATGTTCCCTATATTTTCTATATTCTTAATTTCTAGCTTCTTGAGCGTCTTCACTAAAAAGACCTATTGGTAAGAATAAATTTTCTATTACTTCTGCTCCATGAATTAAGATCTTGTGAAGACTCTGAGGCATGTAATACCGATGGTACAAGCATGATAAGAGTTTTGAGGTCTCCAGACAAAGTAAGCGAATCTTACTAGTGTCTAATTGAAATCCACTTGATATACAAATTAGGATTATATGCAACTTAACAATTAGTTCCTTGTTTATTCCTGTAATTTCAGTAAAGAAGTCTTCATTTATTCGAACAGTAATGCCGTCATTTGAGTTCTCAGATTTCCACATTCCAGATCCTCCACATTTTGAGTAGTCAACAATAAGTCCCATTTTGTGTTGAAATTCTATTTAAACCTTCATTTTTTGTTCATTAGCATAATTTGATGATTGTAATTAAACTTGCCACGTTTATGAAGTTATAAATTTCTTAAATATCTTTGAAACAAAATAATCTGACATAAAAAAAAAGAAAGATAACAAATAAATAATTACAAAATTAATATTATGTTTATTCTGTGGTAATGAAATTTTAATATATAAAACCAAAAATTATGTAGCATTTCAAAAAAAATCTGTACAATGCTAGATAGCCTAAATGTCTCACTTTGTCCTGGTGTCTCGCTTTGCCCCAGGTTACCCTATAATAAAAATTTTTTTCTTTTACAAAAGCATTAAATTTTTGTATTTTCATGCATAGCCATAGTAAACAGTAACATCCAAACTTTTACGAGCTTAAGGAATTAGTTTATATTTTTAAACTATATGGCAGTAAAGCTTTACAAAAAAAATATAAAATAAAGATCAGCCTTTTTATTGCACTTATAATCTGGTTTTAAAATAACACGGTAAATTTTTAACATTTAATGCTTTAATTTTTTACAAAAACTGACTTATCAGTTATGGAACCTAGGAGAACCCATAATAAACACTTGAACTACTAAGTACAATATGTAAACAACCTATTTGAACTATATATATTGACCCTAATTTCCTTTTTGGGTTTCTTTAACGTTTAAAAATAATGACTTTTAGCTTATGTTGTTTGCTTGAAATAAATTTTTATTTCTCATAAACAAAAATTAATTTTGTTTTGTTGGTTATTTAATTCAATGCATATTGCTCTGTTTACCTAACATTTTTTTTTGTAGTAATATAAAAAAATGGTCATATTTACGGATTTAAAGACAAAATAAACTAGTTCCTAATAATATACCACTCTTTTCATCGAAATTAACTGTTTTAGTTTCTGCAGGTATTAAACTGATGGATTCTGAGTGAAAAACGTTATAAAAATATAATGTAAAAATTTGGTAGCTGCAAACAATAGCAATACTCATTTTAAGAGAAGTAATGATAATTGGCTCAAGATTTTCAATCACCTACGGTACATTAAATGCTATATCATGAGTTAGGGTACGTTAAATGCTATATCACCTACGGTAAATTAAATGACTTAAAGATTTTCAATACACGTGCGGTACATTAAATTCTATATCATGAGTTAATGAAGATGGGAAACCATGTTGCTTATTTGAAAAAGGTTGTAACAGAACAAATAAGATAAACTTAAAAACGTTAATAATATTTTATTCAGCCATAAATTATTTAATGCAACAAAAATGAAATTAAAAATTCAGTTTAAGTACAAAAATGGCACAAAATTATTGAAATTTGAAATAAAAACCCCATTAAGTAAATTCACCTGATAAAGCTTTAGCACTAAGTTTTAATAACGGTATATCAAAATCAACACCTTAGCCTCTAAGAAATGGTGCTGTAAAAATCGGTTGCCACATATATCCAGTACATAATGGTATAAATTCTATAAAAGCTAAATGCTATCCCCAGAACATTCAAATAGATGGCTATTCAGTAAAAATACCGCTAAAAGATATTCTAAAACACAATTTTAATAAAACTATGTGGTATACAAACTACTGTGCAAATCAAAATGCTGAAGAATTAACTAAACTGATGTTTAAATGCAAGGCTGGCTTTAATGGTGCTACATGATATAGTAAATATATAAATATATATAAAACATTTTTTAGTTAAAAAATAGTTTTTTTGTAAACAAATAGTTCCTTTTAGACATAATTATGTTAGTACAATATAAAAGTTTTAACGATTATATTCATTATAACTTTTATATTGTGCTTACTTAGTGTAGTCAATGTAATGATTATAAAAGATATAATGTATTGGGTCACTTTTTATAAATACCGATGTAAAGAAAAAATGCCTATATTGTTTATTATTATTTTATTTTATTTTGTTTTTTTTAACTTATTTCGTCACTGTATATTATCCAGACAATTAACTTTACTACATTTATAAATAAGATAAAAATTAAAATAATGACAGGAACAAGTAAAAGGTTGCAGTCTTATCACAAAGCCCCTTTCATTTGCAGCCTTGCAATAAGTTTTATGTAAGCTTAACGTGACATTAAAAATTCATAAATTGAAATAAAGCAAAAAATTTAGCCTTTTCCGTATACATACATACATAGATACATACATACATAGATACATACATACATACATACATACATACATACATACATACATACATACATACATACATACATCATGTAATTATTTATAAATGTATGTAAATACATACATATATTTATACATATACATATATATATATATATATATATATATATATATATATATATATATATATATATATATATATATATATATATATATATATATATATATATATATATATATATATATATATATATATATATATATATATATATATATACATGCATACATATGTATGTGTGTTTAAACTTTAAATTGAAATATTACATATTACATGGTAATATTACATGGTAAATTATTTTATCAAGTTTCATTTAAAG